GGGCCTGGCAGCATCCACATGGGTGCGCACATGCGTCTTAGTGCCTCTGCGAGTCTCCTGATGCTCCAGCTGCTTAACGGAGCATCGCGCAGGCGCTGTATGCACTGTGCCTGTGCGTGGAAGCGCCAAAGACTTAAAAGCCGGTAAGGAGCTCGGGCGGGCGGGTCCTCTGGAGCACTGTACCGGAATAGTATCCGGTGCTCCGGGCAGGGTCTGGTACGCCTGTACCGGGGCATACTGCCTGCAACCCACCAATGATACATATGTATATATTTTATGGGGCAGGACCCACCTGCATTTCCTAGACCAACACCAAGAATAGATGTGTATAAAATCAGTGGTCCTTAATGGTGTAATGGTTAAGATACCAGGCTAGAAACTGGAAGAGTATGAGTTCTAGTCCCATTTTAGGAACATGGACAGCTTGTTATTTTGGATCAGTCCTTCTCTCTCATCCCCTAGCAAACAGGCATTGGGAAAGAACCTCTGAAAACTGCAGAGACTTCTCCAAACAGTCTCCAAGAATCAAAGAAGGACAAGAAAAGAAAAAGTATCACCAATTATAGTATCAGGCCAAATAAACCCTTCAAAGAAGCAGCATCTGTAGATGTGCAGTAGTAGATTGACGTTTCCTTAGGCTATAATGTAATGCTTTGTCACCCTACTGACAACTTCCTCTCATACACCAGCATCAAAGCCAAACTATGTTGTGAAAGTAGGACTTTCCAACTAGGAAGAGTGGTATTACTACTAATATTTCCTTTTCACATTTTCAGTATGATTGTTTGACTCTCTATTTGGTCCTCAGGATACAGAATGCATTTTCCAAGGTAGTATGTTTGATTCTGATCTCTCAGTAATCAAGAAAATTTTGAAAATCACATCTCCTTATCAAGTTGTACTTATTAACCAAATTGCTTTTAATTGTGATTTTAATACAATCGCTCACTTTATATCTCTACCAATACCCCTTGAGTAATGCCATGGATGTCCTATACCAGTGACTGAAGGTTGTTGGGGATGGATGGAGCAAAATGCCTCCAACTCAACCCAAGCAAGATAGAGTGGTTGTGAATATGTGGTTCTCCCAAAGACAAGGTTCTCCCATATCTGATTCTGGATGGGGTTGCACCAGTCCAAATAGATTGGTGCACAATCTGAGGGTCCAGAGAAGGTGGCAGCTGTGACTAGGAGGACCTTTGCACCAGTGATGGGTTCCTACTGGTTCAGACTGGTTTGGCTGAACCGGTAGTGGTTTGGCGGCTTGGATCACTTGAACAGGCAGCAACCCAGGCCTGCCATGCCCCTGAACCGGTTCTCCTATGGTACCTCCATCTTGATTTTCAGTTCTGGGCATGCGCAGAACAATTTTCATTGCACACGTTTACTTTATTTTCATTTTTTAACATTTTGCACATGCACAGATCTATTTATGCACGTGACCAAACTGGCAGTAATGCCGGGAGCAACCCACCCCTGCTTTGCACACCTCTGAGTGGTGTACCAGTTGTGCCCATACCTGGATTAGGAGGGTCTGCTCACAATAACTCATACTCTTGTAACCTCCATACAAAACTACTGTAACACATTCTTCATGGGGCTGC